AAGAGCCCCAAATGAGGGGGGGTTGCAGTGACGTGCCCGTGAGCTCTGCCTGCAGCCAGCTGTGCCAGAGTGACTGAGCCCCAGGCCGAGAGGCCGAGGGCACCCCATCCCCCGAAGGGGCCCGAGCGAGCCCCAGGCTCCAGGCCCTGACAAGCAGCCACCGGTGCGTACCTGGACGCCCATCCCTGGACACCAAGAACCACCAATGCACTGGCAGGGGGAGTGTTGGGGGGAGATAGGCCTCCATACCTTGGAGGGCCTGAGATGTCCCCAAAGAGGTGGCGTCTGATACCCGGCCTGACATATAGATACAGACAAACAGGCACACACAGATACAAACATCCATTCCCACCCTGATGCTCTCATATGCAAATACTCAGCACTCACCCAACGTGGAGAAAGACATAAATAGACACTGTACACACAATCACACTCCCCAAGCGTACTCTATACCCCAGGTCTAGGTACCCTTGCCCCTAGAGGGGGAAACATCACCCAGACCCAGTGTTACCCTTTTCCCTGGGGTGGAGAGAAGCAGACCGCCCCGACTCTGCAGCAGCAGGGAGGCCCCACATTCCAGACCCCAATCGGACGGCCAGCTCCTCCTCCCAGGCCCCCCGCTCCAACAGGCAGCAGAGAACGGGTGTGTGTGAAAACTCCAAACCTCCCTCATACACCCTGATGGTCATCTGGATGCCGTGTAGCATGCCCACCCCCAAGGACTTATATGTATGTGTTATGAGAGAGTGAGTAATGTGAATGTCTAAGTTGTGGGATAAAATTGAGGCACAGGCAGCCAGAAGGGGACAGAGGGGGGGATGCCTCCCCTGCACCCTGGTGACACAACTTTACCCCAAGACCCTGCATGTGTGGGTGATTGTGGTGGAGCGCGAAGAGGGAGGCAGCTGGAGATCCCCCGCTGACCCCAGTAGGCACCCCCATACTCTGGAACCCACCAGGGCAAGGGGGCCCAGGCCCATCCAGACCGGGGCCCAATTCAGCAGCACCGCCCAGCCCCACAGAGCCCGGGACAGCCCACCTGACCCCACCACAGAGAAAACTTCACCACCACCCCGTCATCCACTCATCTTCAAGACTACACAAGACAATAGACACCCAGGCTGAGATCTTCCTCCACCTCTCCAATATCTCTCCCTCACCTGCAGAGTGAGTTCCTGGAGAGAGGAGACCTCCTGCAAGATGTAACAGCCTCCCCCACCAGTTGAAGAGCCCCACAGGTGGCTCGATACACTGGTGGCACCCCGCGCCAGGGCTGAGCCCCCATACACCCACCCGCCCACAACCCCGACACACCAGCCAGGGCCCCAGCCCGGAGATGGGGTACCCCCAGAACCCCAGGCCCACATATGGGCAGCCAGGCTACCAGGTCAGTAACCCACGTCTGTGAGCACAGACCCTCCCCTGGCCCCGTTGCACGCATCCATGAGGAAACCATCACCTAAGAGCCAACAGAGCCCTTAACAGGCCATGACCGCAACCCTGGGTTGAGCCCTCCCAATGCCTCTTAATTGAATAGTTTAATTCAAGCCTCAATCACACAGGTGTAGAAACTGGTTGCTACGGAAAAATATGTATTCCCTAAGCAGTTAGCAAGTGGTTGCTGCAGGTTGTGCAGCAAACACTCGCTGGGCCAACATCTGGGACAGCCAGATGTTGGCCCAGCCTTTAACACTTCAAGGTTTAGGAGTCCCATAAGGTTGATTGTGTTTATCTGGACGTAACGTTTTCAGTAGGAGAAACATTTCATCACTCATCTAAGTGACTTCTTCAGTCTCGGCTAACTGCAGGTTTCCCCAACCTTATAAACAGTACATTTGCATAATGACTGAAACTACCCACTGAATGAACAATGGGCTGTGAGGTCAGTTCCTTAATCATTGATATGCAAACTATGAGACCATTGCTCAACAACCAGTGATCATAGCCCATTGATCAGTGGTTTGAATGAGTCACAAAATGTTTCTCTCACTGAAAACGCTACGTCCACATGAACAGAATCAACCTTTTGGGATTTACGTACCTGGATGATTGAGCATGCATCAAGACAAGGTTTAGGAGTGTTTATGGGAATCTTTGACTATTCTTAAGAAGCACATTTGTGAGGTCAGATACTGATGATGGACCAGAAGGCGTGGCTTGCAGTTTACACACTGTTAGAATGATCAAAAAGCTGACTTGGGTTAGAAGAAATGGATCTGAGTGTAGGGCACAAAATCTAAAGAAGGTTGCACTAAGTCCTGTTCAGACTGGATTTCTGTATGAAAGAATATATACAGAGAAAGACATTGAGTCAAACAGCATCATGGGCAGCATTTACCACAACCAAGGACCCCAGCTGAGCCAATCAATCAGACTGCCTTACCCCATGCTGCGCATCTGTCAGCACATGAAACAATGTGTATGTGTTGCTCACAGTATATCAGTGGGTGCTGCCACAGACTGGCAATCAGCTGCGGTTCACCTCTTCACCTCACACCCTTTATCAGGTACTCCTATATGAAGAGAAATGGGAACAAAAAGCAGGTCCTGGAGGGAATGGGGAGTCTTGAACTTTAGACATGCAGTAAGGGGTAAGGAGACTTCGGGGTTCAGGGCTAAGAGTGAGAAAGTGAGTAGTACCCTGGGAAACAAGACAAAGTGAGAGAAATAATATTTAAAAGACAGAAAAACAAAGGAGGAGATGCAAAAGAACAAGTTGTTTTTCACAGATTTAAACAGGATTGTGTTCATCAAAGGGAGAAACCTCTGAATAAAGAGACATTTATTTTTTACGTACAGTAAGTCTATCATCAAGGGTGTAATCAGTAGCAGAAAAGGCCAAGCCAGTGTTGGACGGACCTTAAACCTGCTTTTTTTTTAAAATGCCCATGTCCTCTGGCTGCAAACGAAGGTCTGTTTGAATAGAAATTGATGAGAAAATTACCCTACTGACCTCAGTAAAGCTTTTACTATTGAAGTTACAGCCTCATTTGCCTGTTTCAGATCTTGTAACAATCCTCATTACTTTTAATGATTATGGCTCTTCTTCTGCTTCTTTCGGTTGCTTCCTTTATGGGTCACCACAGCAGATCATCTGCCTCCATCTCATCTTATGCCGACCATCCTCTTCTGTCACACCAACCCTCGGCATGGCCTCCTTCAATTCAATTCAATTCAAGACCCTTTGTTCAGTATATTCACTATCCCAGCTCAGCCTTGCCTCTCTAACTTTCTCTTCATCTGCTCAACCTGAGCTCTCCCTCCAATCTGCTCTTTTCTAATCTTGCCCAATCGGGCCACTCCCAATGAAAATCCAAACATCTTCAACTCTGCCACCATCTCAGCCTCCTGGCCTTTTCTTAGTGCCATCGTCTCCAAACCATACATCATTGCAGGTCTCACTACCATTTGTAAACCTTCGTTTTCACTCTTGCTGCTATCCTTCTGTCACAAATCATCCCTGACACTCGGCTCCACCCACACCCACTGTGAACTGTTACTTTGAACAGTTGATTCCAGGCATTCGAGCTCATCTCTCGTCACAATCTCTACTGCTTGCATTAAACATATGAAGAAAGCAGGCATATACACCTTAAAAACCGAGAAAAATAACTTTGTTTTTATCACGTTTTTTTAATCAGCTTTCAATAATTACATCATACTGTCTAAAAATCTGTTAAATACTCAAAATTTTGGGAAAGTGAGAAAAGTGGGAATTTTAAGCCAACTAAAGCTCTCATAAAGCAGAGCCTTGTTATCTTAAAGGGATTATGTAATTCATCTTATAATGGTGACATTCATCTGCCCCTTTGGCTCAGATCAAGGTGGGAAAAAGTCACACATCTCTGTCTGTAACCTGCCAACAGCGGCTGAAAATAACACCAGCTTCAGTAAATGGTGGTTAATTAAACAACACACCAAAGGATGGAGCTACTTTAAGCTAATCTATCAATTTTTAAAAAAGTCAGTAAGAGGTATTTAATATCTGAAAAGCTGGAAGCAAACGTAAGGTAAAAGCTGAATTTGCCTGACAGGAAGTGACTGAGTGACTTGAGTCTTGAGAAATGAAAAGATGGCGATTCAACAGGAAGTCTGACAATAGAAAAGAGCACAGCCAGATGTTGAGTTAACTTGACACAAAGACAGATGTTTGCAGTATTTGTAGTAGTTACTGACAAGGATGTTTTTTAATTATTTAAAGTAATGAAGAATGATGAAAATGGTTAGATGTTATCTATCTATATTAGATTTATCAAGGGGGAAATAATAAAGTAGTAGTTTTAAAAATATGAATATTACTCACTCTTATCAAACTTATTAGTAATATTGTTTGTAGCCGTAATAGAAGATTGGAGAGTAGGAGTGATAGTGGAAGTACTATTTGCATTAGTATTACTATTTGTTTATTTATATACAAAAGTGCCAAAAGTACAGACATGCACTTAAGTAGAAGTACAGATACTAGTGCCGAAAACTACATGTGATCAGCTGTCCCGGGCCACCGCTCTGAGGTTTACTGCTGTTTCTGGACATACACAACTGATTTAACAAGATGTGAGCGGATGTTTTATAAGTGTTTGTAGTTGATTTCCATTTTCTACACTGACAGCACACTGTTTATTCTGTCTTTGTAATAAACAGTTTTTAGTTGGTATGAAGATCGAATTCAGTGAATCAATCTAAGCATCATCAGCTCAACTTCAAATGTATCTATGCTACACTTGATGTAAGCTAACGCTGACCATGAAACCACAGCCACCGTGCACCAGTTCTTTACTTTAAATCCATCACATTTGTTTAAAAATATATTCCTGTTCCCTTTTTTTCTTCAAAAAGGGAGTAAAAGTACAAAGTGGTAGAAAAACCCTACTCAAGTAAAATACAGATACCTGAAATTTATACTTAACTACAATAGCAAAGTGTTTGTATTCGTCACTTTGTTCCCATCTCTGATTATGTATGCCAAATATCAGTGCTGTATTTGTGTGTCTGCATTGCAGGAGAGCCAGTGGCTGGACAGCGTCTCTCTGCTAATTAAGGACTCGTTAGAAGGAGACCTGATCGACAATCTCTCCGGTTCAGTTTTTCACCACTACGGCTCTCCTCCTATCTGCAAAGACTGCAAGAGTCACCCTCAAGAGGTTATCAGCGCTCCACACACACAGACACTCACAAAGCACAACCCTAAACATCTGCTGCCTTCATTTCAAATTTACAAGTCAGTAATAAAGTGCCACTACATCAATTATACAGATGCATATATTCTAAACACTACTAATGCACACACATACAGTGCATATGCAGTATAATGTTTCAGCAGTAAATAAACTGCTGAGCATGTCTTCATTTCACATCACACACATTCACAAATTGGTGAATGTGGCACACTGACTCCTTGTTTCATATAAGTATTTTCCCAGATGTGCAGTAAGGGGCTCTAGATATACTATTACAGTGGTTCCCAAACTTTTTTTGGTAGGCCCCCCTTTGTTTTACAAGAAAAATGTGATTATTCATTGTCATCTTTAACACTAAGGAATTAAAGTAGGAAAAAAACGTTGCATAAGCTGCTTTTATATAAAACACATCATAAATGTAAGTTATGTTTGTCCGAGTGAGATCCCAGCAAGGTTCAAGGAATACAACTTACATATTTTTGTAGTTCTGTAAATACAGATTACACGGTGTGATTGCACTGCGGTGCAATCAAAACATAGTACTATACTGCATTAGGATTTTCATAGCTAGAAGTGCAGCTGAAACTATGTTCAGAATGTCAATTTTTTAGATCATGTGCTCATGAAAAACTGAGAAAATCCATTTTTTATTCCTAAAAGGACTTTTTTTAAATACTGTATTCAATAAATATGTATTGTATGCAATTTAAAATGTATTTTCTATTATCCAGTTTTTATCTGATTTAATCCCATTGAAAATAAAATCAAACACAGTTCTTGCAAAATGTAATTTGCTTTAAAGATAGAGCGGGGCTGTGTTTATTACTACAGGGCAGAATTTGCCTTGTATTAATTTCTGTTGTCTGTAAGGATATTCTTGACATTTCCCCCCCTTGTATAATCATGCCCAAAGGATATACATGGCACCACCAAAATGATGTATGAGTGAGTGAACTCGTCCTGAGTTTTCCTGTAATAGCCATAGCTGTGAAAATCATCAATCACACATGAGAACAAACACCAGTTTCAGCTGAGGTTATTCTTTGTATTTGATATATATAATCTGCAGGGTATGAGTTTCATTTCATGCAAGTGTGTACGTGTGTACATGTATGTATGCGTGTAGGAGTGTAAGTCATTGTATAAGTCACAGTGGTGTGACGCCTGTGTGCTTTAGATACTGTTTCTACATTTCACTCATATCCAAGTCACCTTTAAACTAAAAACTGTATATAAAAGATGGGCACAACCACTGTGACATTACTCATGGGTTTGTGGATATTTTAAGGGCAGTATTGACTGACAATGACTTTTTTTGTTTTTGTTTAGTTTTTTTTTACTGAGAAGCTAACATTAGCTGGTAGCATTCCATGCTAGTCGATTCTGTTTAGACTCATACATGCCAACCCTCCCAATTTTTCCGGGATAATCCCAAATTTCAGTGCCCCTCCCGTAAATCTCTCGGAGCCACCATTCTCCCGAATTTCTCCTGGTTTTCAACCCGGACAACAAAAATAAAAAAGCACATGCCAGAATTCATAGCGCGGCCCAGCCAATTCCAGTTTCCAACAATAGCGGCAGCTACTTAGTTTTAATATTACTCATATTACTCTTTCTGGGTCGCAAAATAAACTTGTAGCATATTTTCAGGCGAGAATGTAGCTGTGTAAACTTCAAATATCTGAGCCGGGGAGAACAGTGAACTCCCGGCACATCGTTTTCAAACCCCCGCGGTCTTTCGCTACTCAGGTTAAACATGATATATATAAGTCACTTAGATAACCTAAAAATGTTATTGTTTGACTTTTTTCAGTGTTTCATTTGTTCCTGAGTAAATCAGGAACAAATGATTTTGAATGTCTCCCTAATTCTGAGGTCTCAAGGTTGGCAAGTATGTTTAGACTACCATGGAATGCTACAAGCTAATGTTAGCAATGCTAGAATTTCCAAAGCCTGTATGTATGGGGGGCAGTTGCTGCTGGCTTTTGGCTTCATCATTTCACATCCTGTTGTCAAATTTCAGCTTCAACATGATTGGCTACTGTGTATTTGTGGTACAGGTCCGACTGGCAGAGGTGGAGCAGGCATCGCTGATGTCAGAGCAGCTGTCCGACAAGTCATCGTCTCCAGCTCTGCCTGATGACCTGAGTTTGGATGAAAACAGCAGCTACCAGCTGCTGGTCAGAGACAGCCAGGTATTCTCACACTTACACACCAACACATATGAACATATTCTGTGCTTGCTTGCATCTCTCCCACTTGTATTATACACATGATACACAAGTAATACACAAACACACCAGTAGTGTGGTGACTCTTACAGAAAGTCAAGCTGAGACGGTTCCCTTTACATATTTTTGGGATTAACAGTACTGGTAAGCTCATTTCAAACTGTATACTCAGTTTAATCTAGAGTAATGCATTATATTCTGTAAAATCACATTCATAGTCTGCGTCCTGTGAGGAACACATATCTTTTTTAAGCTGTTAATGATCTCAGAAAAGCAAGCCTACATCTTGATTTTCAAAAGAAGCATATTAAAAAATATTCATAGCAAAAAAATCAAGTGCGTTTAAAGGTGTGAGCACTGTGTGACATATTTATCTATCAATGTGTACAGAGGATTAGAAATATTAATGAAAAGCGTGTTGGCTGTTTAAAGTTACTAGTATTTTCTTGCTAATCTGAAAGTGATAGCTGAGCCTGCACATGTTCAACTTGTCTGTTTTGATATGTCGACGTTTATTTCATGTCTCTTTTCTATCTTCAAGTTTATCCTTGCTATGGTGCTAAAGGAGTTATTTAAAATGTTTTTCTTGGCCAAGGCGATCAGTAAGGAAAAACATCTATTTGCTGATGCTAGCAACCATGAAATTAACCCTGATAAGTGGGACAGAAATGAACATTAGCTCTAATCACTCATGCCTACACACACACACAGGTAAAATCATGTCATCATAGCCCTTAGGTCTTGCTAATCATTATTAATGACTATTTACATTCTTTACTGCCTAATTAAAACACATGCCTCGCACTGTGCTTTTGACATGGGCACATGGGAGTTTGTACGTATGTTTTCCTGTGTGTGTGTGTGAGTTCGTGAGCATGTCTTTTATATCTCCATCATCACATGAATGCTTCGCTCTCAGCTCACCGACGTTCCACCTGGTCTGTTTCATCCCTGTGGTATTGAAGGCCAGCTCATTTGATCCAGTTTACAACCAACAACAACAGCCAAGCAATTTGAAGCTTTGAAGCCTGCCGTTACTTTCTTTTAGCCACCTCCAATTTTAATCAGACTTGTATAGATGGGACATGAAAAGGGAGCTTTTTGAAACTGAAAAACAAATGCTACTCAGATTTCCATTATGATAAGGTGAAATGAAACTCCTCAGTTTGGTGTCTCTCTTGCTCCAGTGAACATCAGTGCGCCTGGATATTTATTCTTTCTAGGTAATTTTTTCCCATCTCCACTTTCAGTCAATCTTCTCCTTTCAAATTCTGCTCTTATTTTCTTCATCTTTCTTTCAGAGGGGCAGCAGTGACTCCCGCAGTTCGGAAGAGTTGCCCAGACAGGCGGGTTACAGAGGGCTTCGTCCCTCCAGCTCAGGAAGCGAGGAGGGTGTTCAGGGGCTGTTTGAAGTGGGCATCCATCATCAGTGCAATCCTGCCTCACCGGAGCAGAAAAGCCCTGCACATGACAAAGGTACTGGCATAAACAAGATGACAGCGCAAGATCAAGGAAGCTGCATGTAGCTCGTAGTGTCCTTCAAAGTGACTACATGTGTGATATACTCAGTGGCAAAATCTACTGGCTTCATGATTTCCAAAGTACTTAAAGTACACTGTACTGTATGTGTAGTTACAACTCATCACTTGTCAAATATTTGCCTTTATTTTCTGTATTTTTATCATTTTTTTCTGTATGTAAACTGTGGATTCGTTTTAAAAGTTTCAGGGGTTTTATAAAATAACAAGAAGCAGCAACGCTGAGCTGCCTGTGAAGAGCTGCAGGCAACAAGATGCTCATCTCTAACTTTTCATTCCACCTGCTCCGTGCTATCGACCGCAAATTTGCTCATGCTGTTTACGCCGTGAAACAAGACTGCAGTCCTTCATGGCGCGTTACAAAATTATTGACTGCTTCTTTAAAAATGTTCAACTTTGTGCAGCAGTGCTGTAAATAGATAAAGCAGTTACTCTGTAATTCTGACTGAGTAGCTGCACAACGGGAAGCACTGGGAATTCAGGGAAGTGCGCTTTTACATCACAGCAGTTTTTCAAAAAATATTTGTTCTTTTACACGTAAAGTGATAAACACCTTGAGAGAGAGAAAGTGAGTGGTAATGCATCTCTACCACCAAAAAAGATCAAAGTTGCAAAAAAAACCTTTCTGTTAATTTCTGTTAATAGTTTTCAATTATTAAATAAGAGACTGCCAAGCATAGTCTAAAAAATAATCGTTCTGTAAATCCTACCTTTGTAGATTGTTTTTCATCCAAATGGTTCAATGTAATCTTTCATACACACAAAACACAAAGCAAAAAATAAAGAGTAAAATCAACGGACATATGAGCTTCCTTTATCACACTTATCTGTGCTCTTTCTGACCCTCATTGGTATCAACCACTATGATTTCATTAAGACATGACTTTGGCATTGATGTTAACATTTATAGAAAAGTAAGACTTTTTTACTCGACATCTCTCACATCCTGCATAGTTGATCGACTTCCACTGCAGTTAAAGAAGTGATCGATGAAGCCAGACATAAGGCAGACAGATATGCTAATGAATGACAAGTTAAGGTGCAATTCAACATTGAACACCCCCTGTAACATAACTGCCATCACCAGAACAGACATACTAACTCAGAGGGTCCATTCCATTAATTATTAACCCTCTTACTTACTTATTTAAAATATTTATTCCTAAATGCTCAGATTGGGAGATGAAATGTTTTCACTCCACCTTTAATTTTTCCAAATATGTCTGTGATGTTTGGATGCTCAAGGTCTAATTTGAAATAGAATCCCGTTACAACTTTAATTTCAAGACGATATATCCCTGTGAGAAACTCTCATCTATCTTGAAAATGTAAAAATTGTGTTTGCAGAACAGACAAAATGCAACTTTATCTATATACTTTATCTATCTATATATATATCTATCTATCTATCTATCTATCTATCTATCTATCTATCTATCTATCTATCTATGTATATGTATATGTATATGTATATATATATATATATATATATATAAGTTTATTAAAGTGTGAAAGACATTTAATTGCTTCCTGATAACTTTTAACTTTGAACAGTTCATTGTACTAACTGTATTAATGTCTTTTTGTTCATTTTTCTTATAATATGGTGCAATAACATTTTTAATTAAGTAAGAAAAGAGGTGCCCTGAATGAGGTGTTCAGAATTTAATTTCCGAACAAAGATTACCATCAGATACTTCACCCCACATGGTGGTGTTAGCAGAATGTACAATGAGGTGTGACATTCTGTCGTTTGGCTCGTTACCCTGAAGCTGAAATAATAGTTTCTTCTTCATTTAGATTAAGGACACGTTGAGCCATCAGATCACTAACTTGTAAAATGGTTGTGAAGATAAAATATAAAGTTTTGTCCATGTTAAGGTGGGAAAATTGAGCTATATTTAAATATATGTGATAATATATTTTAATTCTTTATACATCACTTTCTATGTTGACAATAGAAGAATAGTCTTTTGTAAGTTATAAGATTAGAGCTTTGACCAATTAATCACAAGTTTAACCTTGAAGACTTTGGTGGATGAAGCCAAGTTTTAATGGAATATTAACATGACCCTGCTCTACACGTCCACAATATTTGATCAGAGTTCATTTAAAACTTCGAGCATGACAAAATGACGCACACACATACAAAAGCTACCAAAAACATAACCTCCTTGGCTCAAGGTAGAAATCTTTTTGGGGGGTCTTGCAGCGTAGCCAGTGAGTATCCAGGCCAAGACTTCCATTGGTCAGTGTTCACAAATGTCGATGTTCCAAACAAAAGCTTAGAAAAAACTAAACTGCAGGAAATGTCTGATGGTTTTGAGGTTGGACTTCAGTAAAAGGATTCTTTTGCTCTCCACTGTGATTTTTTGCATGCAGCCAAAACCTGCTACAGCATGATGAGTCATTATAGTAACAAAAGTTTCCTTCATTGCGTAAAAATTCTGCAATTGATGCGTCAACATTTGTTTATAGAGATTGTTTGCAATGTGGTGGAAACATAGATAAGACGGTCTAAACATTCATTGAATATTTTGTCACTTTTCTGTGAGGAAATAGTGATTGACTGGAACAAATCCTGACACTGCTGAGTAAGTGTGGGGAATCACTTTGGCTGACATCCTTATGAAGGAAACAAGGACAGGAAATCATACAGAAAAAGACTAAATCTATCCAGAGACAGAGAACAATTCCCGAGTATTCACAACTGCCTCTGTGGTGGTTACCACTCCTGTCTCTACAATAAAAGATGCAGAGAGAGAGGCAGACTTACAAAGTGATAGCAATATGAGTGTCAATGCCACAGCTGGATTAAACTGCAGCCTTCCCTTTACAGATGATGATGGAGGAAGCTGCAGTGGAGGTGCTCGTGAAACTTCACCAGTCTTGCATCTACCGGCAGATTTCTTCCACCCAGCTGCTGCAGCTCATCCAAACAGTCCTGGAAACAGCGTAAGCCCAGGAGACAGACAGCCTTCCAGGTCGGCCTCCCCAGCCTCCTGGGCGTCCCTCCGCTCACCCAGAGCCAACAGCAGGCCGTTGGGCTCCCAGGTATTACGAGCAGATGAATGGATTCGTTTGTGTCTGTATGGCTGGCTGAACAGACGACATCAGCATTGCTGTGCAAAACATCAGTGACACGATAGAACGCAGTATAAACGTGTCCTTTATGTCAATGCTCGGCGATGTCATGCAGAGGTTGTTGAGAGGCAGACGTGTTTGTGAGACTGAATGAGAACATCTGGGAACCGAAAACTGTAACACACATCACACCAGGGATGTCAAACTCATTTTACGTCATGGGCCACATACGTAGAGTCCACACTGATCTTACCTGGGCCCCTTTCTGTCAGGGGAAAGATGTTTAACTACATGTTTCATAAAGTTTTTGTTAATTCACATAATTTTTTTTAAACTTCTCTGTTATTTAGCTGTTTATCTACGACTGAATTCCTTGAATTTAGCATGAATACATGACCCAATATGGCTCTTTATGAAGAGGTAGACAGCTTGTCAGTAGGCCAGATTGAAGTCTTTGCTAGGCTGACACCCCTGCCTTATATCATATAGTGACACTAGATGTTGGCCCTAGATATTGATTTGATGACATTGTTACAGCTGTGGGTGTAATAAACACTTGGAATCACTTTAGTTCATTAGAAATCAACACTTGAGTAGGAGTGGCACAGTTAGATGTGACACAGCAGCCTCTTCTGCGATCTATCAGTCAGAATCTAATTACTGCGCGCCAAATCGTGAATATACACGTATCACCACCCTCCACTGAAGTCCTACTGCAGTGTGGGACTCCAGAGAGTTTATTTAGTCATAATTAAAGCCAGCCTCTCTTCCATACTGAATCTAACACCTCCCCTATGCTGGCTCCTACGTGAAACAAACTCGAATGGGGGAGAAAAATAAAGCCCTTATTTTAGTTCTTGTTCCTTTTGTAACCATGGAGACAGATTTCTCTTTTCACCTCTACCTGTTTGGTTTGTTTAGCTCGTGCCTGAGTGGCTCTGTGATCCTCCGCTGCTACAGTAATGCTTTGCGGCGCTCAGCTAATTAGCCCGGCCAGCCCCGAGCCTGATACCGACTCGGCACTCGCTGTTGTGCTTGGCTCGCGCTTCTCACATTCTCCCGTGTCGCTTTTCTGTTTTCCTTTTTCTCCTCTCCTGGGTGATCCTCTCTATCCCTCTTTGCTTTGCGTTCGCTCCCTGCCACTATGTTTCTGCTTTTTCGTAATCTCTTATTTTAGTACTGGCAGGATTAGAAATAATGACTAAATCCCTCCTGCATACAGACATATTGGATTAAACAAACGCTTCCCCCAAACTCAGGGCGGGGTCCTTCAAGCAGGGGGAATTACAAGCGAGGTGGTTTCACGGTTTCATATTATTAGGACTTCTCTGAAATTGGTTAACCGAGAATGAGTTCAAACCAATGTGTTGTCGTCCCGGGGCAGATCCTTCCTTTCCTGTTGCACAACTGTCCTTAGGTACTGGTCACAGTAACATCAGCCAATAAGAGCTGGTTTTCTTTTCTTTATTGGTGTTTTACTTCAATGTTATCTAGGTAACAATAGCTCCAGGAAATTCAGAATTTTTGGGATCTGAACTTGTATCTTGACATGAAGCGATGATGAGCTGGTCCTGATGTTTTCACACGGATTACATGTGTCCGATGTGTAAAGGCATTAAGCTGTAACTGTAAATTCGTCTGTGTTTTTGTTATTTTTTTTTCTTTTTGGTTTTTATCTAAATTCTTATCCTCTCTTCCAGCACCCGTCCCACAGTGACTCCTCTTTGGCCACAGCCAGTTCAGAGGGCAGCCTGCAGGCAGCACTGGAAGAAGGGCTGAGCTTCAGCGTCTCCTCACCTCGATATCTGGATCTCCCCACACCCCACCTCTGCCCTGTCCCCAGCCACCCCTCGCAACGCCAGACACCGACTACAGGAGACCAGGGCTGCTCTTTACTAAAGAGACACAGTACTCCTTTGACCCTCCAAGCCACCCGGAGGCACCAGAGGAGCCAGAGCAGCAGCAGAGGCGGCAGCACCAGCCCCGGTTGCCCCCAGCAGGACTCCGTGGACCCGTCAGATGAGGATGTTGGCACGGGGACAAACCGGGATGACTGCCGTCAAACCTTCAGCAGCGAGCACCTGTCAGAAACACTGAACAGTCTCTCCCTTACGTCACTGTTTACCCCGGACTCTTTGGCACCCCCGCTGGTGAAGAAATGCAACAGCACAGGGTCTCTGGACCTAACGAATCTGTCTGCCCGGAGTAAAGATGGCCACCACTTTCATGGCATACACGTCCATGGTTTCTTATCCAACCCCTTGACAGAGGGAATGGCAAGAGGTGAAGAGCAAGACATCACAGGCCTCAGCATGAAAAGCAGGCGTCAGACCGCAGACACATGCTCCAGGAAAAACAGATGAAACACTTGTTGCCTCTCTGTAGTGGAACTCTTTAACCATTTGCATTTCTGGACCTTGAACAGAACAGGGAGAGATTTTTAATACACGTCCTGTGAACCTGAATCTGAAATTCTCTCTTGTCTTTATTAAATCATTCGTTCTCTCTCTCTCTCTGTTTAGGATCAGTCATTTCTCAAAAGATTCCAGTCGCTTCTGAGTTTTAGCATCATTTCTCTTACACAGGATATACGATTGCTCTTTGCTAGGTCTGTACAATAATGTCAAGGAGCTCAGCTTTTGTGTTAACAGGACTGAGCCTTTGAGATGTGGCAGATCCTGGGTTTTATATTATAGCCATCTTGAGAGAATATTCAGAAAGCCATTACAGAGACAGCCCTGAAAATTGCAGTGATTTGTGAACATTACAAAGGCGGTGTTTTCTAGACGAAACTGTTAAGAAGTTCAATCCTCTCTAAGGACCGGGTTCACTTTACTCAATGCGGCCTGAACCATTGTCCAAAAACCCTGTTGTCAAAATTGGACGGATGGCAAACTCGGAAGCTTCTTTTGAGGAAGAACTGAACTTTGTACAGTTTTCTTTTCGTGTTTTTTTGTAATGTCCATGGCTAATAGTAGCATCAACCTTTTTTTTTCTTTGGAAGATTTGGCGGGTGATGGAAAAGTTGTCTTTTGTTTTGTTTTTTCCAACTTCAACATTTTGAAGTTGCGTGAATGTACCCGCTTCTGTCTCCATTTGTGAGAAAGAGGGAGACCAAGACAAGCAATGAGCCTAGCCAGTCTGAACAGTGACAGATGGCCTCTTTGAAAAGAAGAAGACTGTGAATGCTGCTGAGAATGCGTGTGGGTAATTCATGGAAGCATTGGCCACTTTCAGAGTGGACTCTGTATTTTTTGCTTTCTGCACACCCATGAAAGGGCTAAAATGTATTTAAGTGTAGACCTGGGCCAAATACAATTGACAAATAATCTTTTGCTACTATACCTAACACCACGTTTGACAATGGCACATCCATTCCTTAATCAGACCTCTCTGATGCTAGTAATGTAAAACAGCTTTGAAGCTAAAGTGAGCACTGACTTGGGAGACTGGAAGTTGGATGCTAAGTTAAATGTCTTTAAGACTTCCAAGCACCAGCTTCCTGCTGACCACTGAATCAGAGCCTATAGAAGTATACTGAGTCATACCAAAACAAAAGAAGATTTCCAAAAATTGAAGTTAATCTGATTGGTTATCTGATAAACTTTCAGGATGATAACTAAGTCCCAAAAGCCCCGTCTGTCTATACAAGTCAGTGTCCCCAACAACACACAGTTCCTGTTCTGGCCAGCAACCATATTAATGTTACATGATGCTCGTCTGCACAGTGAAAGTGTATGCCACATCCAGCCGATTGACCTCCTACAGCTGGTACTCGTTTGCACTGCTGCTGCTCCTGGTTTGGACGCACAAACAACTGAAACATTGTGGAAAAACATGGTCAAGTAATATTAATGCGATGTTCCAGATGTACACCACACTCAAGTAAACTGGTCAGGACTCCAGTGAACCTCATCAGTCATACTGCCCTGTGTCCTGGGTGTGTGTATAAACGTTGGTAGTAAGTGTAGTGAGTGTGAACGTAGCAAAAAAAAGAAAACTTTGAACTTTTGGCTGGCATAGGCTTGTTAAGTTGTACTTTGAACAAAGTGTCTATCTTTGGATAGGCTCTGCTTTTGTACCCGCAGCCTTAGCCCGCTGACACGCCGCCACCTCTTCAGTTCTATTATTGTCACGAGTACAGGCCCTTGTTTGAGTGCCCTGTGGCAGGGCTAATCACTAGGTTGGTAACACGTCAATAGACCGTCCCTCGTTTGAGTCACCCAGAAGCACTCCTGTTTCAGTCTGAAACAAAAGAGCACCTATTGTCTTATACGTGCGTGCTGTTCTCTGGGCCGGGTGTTGGCATTTGAAGCAAACCAGACGAGATTTAACGCAGTATTTAAATCCTTCCGCCTGTTTTAAATGTACCTGAGTCTCTCAGTAGTGGAGCAGGCTGCCTGGCATGTGCATGGGAAACCCAAGGGATGGTTTCTTCTTAAAGAGTCGGTGTACAGATTAGCGGGAATTCAGCAAATGGAAATCACTGTTTTGTTTGCTGCTTTAAACCCAAATGTTTATTTGACTCAGGTCTGCTTGAGTGTAGCAAGGCAGTAGAAAAAAAATATATACTATGACAAGCAATGTGGTCCACGTGGATGTAGTTTGAGCACATGTTTGTAATTTTATCAAATTGTGATGATCATCATAGAATAAATCCCGAGCAGGTAGACCTCAGGTGGACCTATATGCACCTCATGCATTGCATCAGCACATATAGCACACACACACATCCTGAAGCACATACACACACACGCATATCACACAAAGATGTCAGCGTCAAAACACTGCAGGATGCTTCTGTGGCTGTTTGAGAAGAGGCAGAAGAAACCTCGGTGTTTAATCTCTTTCTCTACTTTGTCTTCATTCCCCTTCTTACTCCCATCCAATCCTATTATCTCCTTTCCACAAGAAGCCAGAGTACTAAATGACTATTGACTACCCACCTCTAATCGAGATATGCAATATGCTACAGTAGATGTACAGTTAGATGTATGGGATTCATAGAGGTAGGCAATATGGTGAGAGAAGATTATATTTATGAATTCATGTATTCGAATAAAATGTCACCAAGATTCAAAGGTCACTGAAAGGATGATGTATTCATGTATTCCAGAGTGTGTGTTCTCTCTTTTTTCCCTCCATCTCCTCGACACGGTTTTCTTTTTCCCAAATGCATGTAGGTTATTTTTGTTTTCCAAAATGTCATTCTAGTGTCATATAAAAGTGAGATAGCTTTTCAACAACCTCCGACTCCTGAAGTTGTTCTTTCGAAATGAGGTTTGAGTGAATTCTCTTTCTCTTTCTTCAAGGTTAGGGTTAGGGGGTCAGCGATTAATGCGAGCCTTTTTCACGCGTCACTCTTTAGTTCGTCAGTCTGGGACTGTGCTCATAAGGATGATAATATCTGGAGAATGATCTAGCACGAGGTTTAACTGCATTTGTTTGTTTTGATTAACTTTATTTTGAACAACAAAACCTGATATTTGCATGTATTATAAGTCATGCAGTACTAATACCACAAATAACCCGCTGTAAATGCTCTGCATGCACAACCTATCTAAAAGATTTAGAAAGTCTTTTTGTTTTTTATCCCCAACTTTCCCATTGAATCTTGTGTGTTTGCATTAATCTCTGTTTATTTCTCTTTTGATTTTTACAATTTATGAAGCATTTCTGCTTCAGCGTGTGAGGGGGACTGTCGTTGAAAGCGTGTCACGGGGTCAACTGTTTGGTCTTTGTTGTTCAGCGTCATCGTGCCTTGTTCTCACACCTGTGGGTTGGTCAACTCACAATAGAAATTGTCATGTTTCTTTTGGCAACTTCGGGGACCTCCAAAAGCCAGCCGAGTTCCGTGGAATATGTGCTCAAAATCCGGAGCGCACCACGGCTTCCAGCGGAGCTCCTCCTCCAGCTGGGCGAGGGCTGCCTCCCGGCGCTCATATAGCTGAGAGCGGTTTGCTGGGTCCATGTAATGGTCGTAGTCTTCTGTCATGTTTCGGCTGTGTGGCAGGCAGGAGAGGACCCAAACGCAAACTCACAGGGACAGAACTTGAACTCAAAAGCACAGCTTTAATTGCTGGAAAAATAGAACACAGGTAATACAAAACTAAACTGGGAAAGCTAATCATAAAGTATACCAGGAGACACGGGGAGAATCACACACAGCATGAGGGAGACTACGACACTGACAAAGAGAAACACAGGGCTTAAATACACATAGGGATAACAAGGGAATGAGACACAGAAGGAGGGCACAGCTGGGAGTAATCAGGCTGGACGAGACAAGGGAAGCAAAACTAGAAACACTCACATGAGACATGGACCTTCAAAGTAAAACAGGAAACACACTGACTGAACTCTAAACATGCAAACTTAACAGCAACTGAGAAGACAGACTATAGGGACCAGAAACATGGTACAAAGAGGTCACAGTAGACACAACATTGAACACAGGGAAGCCATATTACAAAGCCAAAGAACTAAACCTATGATAACCATAACTGAAATCTAGGGAAACAAGAAACAGTACAACAAAGGACTCAAAACATGCTCCAAAATATAAAAAACACGAGGTTTCTTCAAAATAAAACAGGAAACATGAGAGGCAGACATGACAACATAAGACAACAGACATGAAACACATGAAGGGCAAGGGAGACTTCACAGGGGTTGAAAACACAAGTGGGAGCTAATAAGCAAATGAACATAGGAAACCTAATAAGCTTAAACATACACTATGAACATCAAAATGAACTAAAACTCAAAACACTGGGTCATAAGACCCAGGATCGTGACAGAAATGGGCGCTTCAGAGAGCTGACACGCTTACCTAATCCAGTTTAATAAATGTCTGTTTATTGAGTCTTTCATTTATGTGCAATACTGTGCAAAACTTTTGAGCCACCCCTCAAATTTTTTTTCCCCTTTTCATTTACAGTATATAAAGCCAAACCAGAGTCAGTATAATTCTAAAGTCAGTGTTGCCTAATATCTCTTTAGAAAGCTTTCTTGTAATTCCTTTAAGTAGTCTTCAGGAATAGCTCTACATTATCCTTGAAAGACATTCAAAGCTCTTCTTTGGAGCTTTGAAGCGTTTGTTCCGTTCCAGTCAAGATGATCTCACGCTGCTTCGATCATTTTAAGGTCCAGGCTCTGGGGAGACCCGTCCAGGTATGCTTTTACTCCATTGGAAGTGTTTTTGGGTTCATTGTCAAAGCACATTGTCCTGTGCTAATCACACACGGCTGCCTAAAATCCTGCCCCGAACCATGACCGTAACATCCACGAGGTTGGCAGAACTCGAGGTTTCCCAGTAGAACATTGCCCAAAGCATCACAACGCCTCCAACAGCCTGCCTTTTTCCCAGAGTGCATCCTGGTGTCCCCCAGCTAAGCAAAAGACATGGAACCAGAAGGGTGCCTGGTCTGAATCAGACCAGGCACCCTTCTTCGTTGCTCTGCAGTCCATTGTTGGTGCTTTAGGTGGCAAACAGCATCACCATGGGTACCCTGACTTGTCTGCATTTGCAGCATCTTAAGAAACAAACTGTGATGCTTTCTGTAATCTGTCAGATCCACATTCACATTTTGGGCAGTTTGAGCTCCATTAGCTCGTCTATTGGATCAGACCACATGGGTCAGCCTTCGCTCCCCACCTGCACCAGTGAGCCTTGGCCGTTCATGACCCTTTTGCTGGTTTACCATTGTTCCTCTCTTGAATGACTTTTGATACACACTGGCCATCAAAGACCAGGAACACCCCAGTTTAGAGATGACCCAGTTGTCCAGGCATCACAGTTTGACATTTGTCAAATTCACTAAAATCGTTACGCTTGCCCATTTTTCTGCTTCAAGCTCATCCAACTTTGAGGACAAAATGTTCAGTTGCTTCCTAACATATCCCACCCAGTAACAGGTGCCATGATGAAGAGATAATCAGTAATGCTATCACTTCACTTCTGATCCTGATTTTTTTTTTTTTAATTTATGTATTTTTTGCATATAGGTCGTGCCAGATCTTTTCTGTTCTGTTTTATTTTGAGGCTGTCTTGCATGCACAGCATGTTTATATCAATTTTCACTGACATTCAAGTCAGAGGACTGACTGCTGCTCTAAAAGCTTTCACTTTCTGGTCTGACTGAAGCATTTGCATTTAGATTTTGCTTATATTTGGCAGACTCTCACTAAATCCCCTCAGATGTAAAAAATAAAAAATCCCTAAATCTGTGCACGTCACATGTAGCGCTTGCGTACACGCAAGGTGGAATATTTCTACCAGCATCATGTGGACACAGCACTTAGGTATGATGCCCCATGTAACATTGTACCACCTCTCCAATCACTGGGGATCGATTACATGGTTATGGTTACATCACATGGTTATATGTTCTTCATCTGCTTGTCACATGTCACAATTACTTTTTTCCACTTATTTAATTATAAAAATGTATAAATATTTAAAGAAGCCCACATTTATACAGCCTCTTTGCTCCAGCGGGTTACATTTCATACTTTTGACTGCAAACAGCTGTAAAACGTATTCTCTGTATCCCCCTTATGTAACTCCCCATCCCTCCATCCATCCTCAGTTCCATTCAAATCAACATTAAGCACCTCCACTCTTTTCTCTGATGCCTCTCTCCCCTTCATCCTTATTTTCCTCTCAGATCTCGCTCAGGCCCAGGTCATTACAGCACAGAGCTGCCAACTCTGAAATAAATGTCATTAGTGAAATATATTTGACACAGCTTTCCTATCACATAAACCCCAGTGGAAATTAATGCTAACTCTATTTCCTGCTCATTTCTTGGTGGTGGGAGAACAAAGCAGCCAAACTTTTCTCATATACCAACAAACGTGGAGTTGAGCTAAACTAAGATGCACAACAATGTCTCTTTGGTCAGAAGAATAATGCACTTACATTTGTGGGCATGGCTGGATTACAGCACCAAGGTGCTTTGGAGCAAAAGTGTGATATGGTCCTCAGAGCATATCACACTGTATGTTTCCTGTTTCCTACAGGTACAAAGAAAAGAAAAAAGAAAAGAGGAGAAAGAAAGAGGGAAAGACAAACAGCGGGGAAGAGGAACAGTGATAAAGGGCAAAAAAACCAAAAACAAACAAAACAAACAGACAAAAAATACAAATATCAATCACCTGGATCACCTGTTGAGAAAAAAAAGAGAAAACAAACAAAAAAAAGACCAATATAATAAACAACATCATCGCGAGGACCTATGTGAATATATCAGTAAATGCTAAATATTAAACGTTATTGTGCAGCACGTAGGATCAACAGCGCACAGTGTGCCTTGAGGTAGGAGCCAAAAAGGGTGTAGTTTGTGTGTGTGAGCACCCGTGTGTACACCTGTGAGCATGAACGCGCTTGTATTTAAAAGGTTCCTACATGTAATGATCTGTTAGAGGGTGTGGGGGGCACAACCCTGTCCTCCAGTCCATGAAGCAGGTATGGAGGAGATCAAGATTCCAGACATCCAGAGGCCCTCAGAACACAAGAGACCAAGGAAGACCAACAGAGGGCCAGCCGCACCACTATCCCAGAAAGAGCTGAGGAGAGCCCCAGATGAGGGGTCACTCAGCAGCCGCGGAGCAGAAGCCAGGGGGGGTTGCAGTGACGTGCCCGTGAGCTCCGCCGGCAGCCAGCTGTGCCAGAGTGACCGAGCCGCAGGTCGAGGGCACCCCACCCCCCGAAGGGGCCGAGCGAGCCCCAGGCCCCGACAAGCAGCCACCAAGAGTGAGCCGGTGCGTACAACATCCAACCCGGCTTAAAAAGTATTTTTACTGTACACAATGATGGGTGAAATGTTGTTAACCCTTTTAATTAGTATTGAAGGGTTAATCTGCTCTGAGGGACAAGTTTTATTCACATGAACAATGGGCCAAAAACTGTGCAAATGAACAGAAAATCTGAGTACATCATGGAGGAAGCATTGGAAAATTTTTAGCAGCTTTAATTTGAATGAATGAAAAGCTGGCTGGCTGCTTGTGTCCCAATTTCAAGATTATTACCCCTCTTAGGTCTTAAATGGTGATAGGTGCTAACCCTAACTCTACCCTGCCCCTACATTTTGAAGGACAAACAGATTCTTTTTCTTTTCGTGTCAGCTAGAATAATGATGTTCTTGGTTTCCTGATTTCCAAGACATAATTTCATAAAAGCAAAAAATTACATGCCATCATTTAAAGTTAAGATTTTATGTGAATTACAGTTTTTCTTTTTTGT